CAATACTGTGTAATTACCTCATTCTAATTTTAATTATTATTAATTCAGCTTTTGAATTTGAATTCTTGTTACGTACTAAACTAAACAAACCGATATTTAGATGAAAAAACTTTTTTATATCCACAGAATCAGGGGGATCCGAAGGAAGCGACAGGAACTTAAACCCTCTCCATTGGTACAAAATAATAATAATAATAAAATCTATTTATTTTTCAACGTTTTTCAACGTTTACAGCTTTATAAAAATATTTCACATATTAAACCAATTTACAATGTCTTATATTACGTTTAATTAAATCATTATTGTCATAAGTTGGAAATCATTTGAAAATAAATGTAATGAAATGTGAGTAAATTTTATATTCATTTCATTATTTTTTATTCTTCTGAAGACAGATTAAATTACAATTTATTATATTACACAATGTATAAAATAAAATACAAAAATATACAATTTGCATTAGTGTTAACGAGAGGTAGAAATTTTATTTTTGAAATTAAAAAAAAAATTCGATATGATAATTTTTCGGATAAAATATTTTCAGTAATATTTCGAAAAATATAATTTAGTAATTTATGTAAACAGCACTTCTACTCATTACTTAAGCACACAATGTGATATATTTATGATTAATCGCATTTTTCTTTGGAAGAAATGGAGTCGAGTTCGTGGAAAGAAGGGAGGGAAGGAAAAAAAATATTCTAAATTACTGCTTTTAGACAAGAGCAAACATTGTTCGAGTGGAATATCGAAATTATGACCAAATTTAATATTCGCCAACATCTTTTAATTTGCTTCTACTATTAAAGTTCTCGATTATCAGACATAAACGATGCCTGTCCAATTTCGACTTAATTTACAAGCAAAATCTCATCTAGTGTTGATCTTCCCTTGGGTAATTTTGCCAAGTTTATTGACTTCAATTTTATTTGTAAAAATTATGATTTGCATAATTTTCATATCTTTCTGTTGGAAATATGGATATAAATGGAAAATTAAATATTTAACGAAGTGACGATATAATTTTAACCTATCATTGAACATTGCAATTTTTATCGGAATATCTTCACGTTAATAAAGTTTGGGTGTAATGAAATGCATTTAAATGTAATAAAGTCTGTTTTTTTCCTCATTTAATCTATTATTTGTATTCTCTTTCTTCTTCTTTATATGCAAATATAATCAGATGTTATATAATAAATTATAACCTAGCAGATTAATCCGCCACTAATTAACGAGAGACAAATATATTACAAGTATCTTATAAGCTTTACATTTATCTTCATCAAGGCATTAATGTAATGATCATAAATAAATTCTTAAGATTTATGAATGTAAAACGATATGAGAATTGATAATAAAATTTACTTAAATAAGCTAATCGAAGTAGACAATTTTAAGTAATAAAGTAATGTAAAATTAATTTTTCTCGTTTAAAAATATAAATTCTAGCTTTATTATTTAAGCAAATGTTCCAAAATTTCTTATAATTAATCAAGTATATTGCATGAAATATATGTAATATAAATGTACAAACGAGTAATGAATTCATTTTGATATTAAACAATATAATATGTATTTTGCATCTTCACAACATATAATAAATATTATTTTAAAAGTTAATATTCAATGCAAATTATATTGTGCAATATTCGAGTATGTTGCATAATACAACGTGCATTATTTTTAACTTGTTTCTTAATAAATATTGAAAATATGTCGAAATTCCTATAGTTTAATAGGACATTATAGTAAACATGTCAAGGAATATGAATGTTTTATAGATTGTAGTGTAAATATTCTTTATTTACACTAGGCCTACATATATTTTAATGTAAAAAATCTTTAAATATAATCACGGAAAAATGAAGAATAAATAATAAAGCAATATGTCAATAAATTTATATTCTTTGATTTGTTTCCTTGATTATTCTTCAATTTTAAAATTAAAGGCAAAGAATTTTCATTTGATAACTTATACACAAAAGTGAATATACAAGTAGATATTAATCTAAGTATTTTTACTTATATTTAATTCTATATTTATTTTTTTGTGTATAAATTAATAAATTGCTACTTTAGTGTTTCTTGTTTGCATTAGTTATAATGGTTGTCAAAGGATTATTTTTATAAAATCAATAAAAAATTATGCAGAGTTCATTTCAACTTATGAAATGCATTAAGAATTTCAGATAAATTGTTTATTAAAATTTGAAATAAGAATTTTAGTTTATAATTTTAAAATTTATTATATTACTTAATATAATATATTATTAAATTGGAAAATTATATGCTTTATAATGATTAGATATGATTTATTTGTTGATTTAACAATATTTTGATAGGATGAGCGCTTACTCTGTGAAAAATAACTAATAATAATTTGATAGATTTTCGTTTAAAATATATTTTAAAAAAAATTACTTTTTAAGTATATTAAATTTCAAGATTTTAAGCAAACCTTTTTGAGTTCCAAACGTTAATTTTTAACAATTTATTTAAAAGTTTTGAAAGAAAAATAATACAGTTTTATCGTCCAATTATCTAAATAAAATTGTAAGGCTTTTGCTTAAAGAAAAACAGATTTACTAATTAAAGAACATCTCGACTAAAGCGGAACAGTGACGTAATTACACGACCGAGACGTATAATCATCGCCTTAAAGATGGCATTACAGAACAAATGGAATTTGACGAGAGGGATTTAATCACGACCTAATGACGTAATTCAGTTGATGTATCAAGTAGAGTATCGTCGATGGAGGATTAATTAGAGGGAGAACAGATTAGATATCTTCTAGCATCGGAATTACAGATGGAATGCATAGAGTGCGGTAATTTGGCATTTCTCTAACTGAGATAACACAAACATCTTTCATCTTCGAGGACTTAATTGCTGATGACGCTACTCTTTAAATCTATTACAAGCTTTGCTTTATGAGGATATTAATGTCTTCTTCTAATGACTGTTAAGAAGTGAATTTATTTGATATGACAATTTCAATGGCAGCGGTAGGATAAAACGGTAATTTACGAGTTTGTGATGTGTATTGACATGATTTTTTTCAAGTAGTTAAAGATAGATTGCACCGTTCGTTCGATGTTCAATTATATAAATATTCCTCAAAATTTTCATTTAAAAAGTAAAACTAATTAATTACTTCCAAATTAATTTATATATTTGCAATATCAGTATTAGAATATTCTTATTCACAATTGGTTTTTAGTACTATTGATAACTTAGGGTAGTACCGCGATACTAAATATGGAAAAATTGCATAAAACCATTAAACAGATTTTTTTAAATGCCATATCGATTAAAAACACTCAAAATTTGAAAATCCAATTACAAGGATTTCAAAAATTTTACAAATTTTCAAATTTTCGCGATGTTTTTATGAACTCGAGATAGCGTTTGCTTAACGAAAAAGACTTGGATTGTATACAGAGAAATCACACGAGTTACTTCTAGGTTAAACGAAAGACTGACACGTGTCTTAGTTCACTCGAAAATGTGCGGGTAGTGGCAACTTCTTTAGCTTCATCCAATAGCTATTGGATGAAGAATCCCACAGAATCTCACAGAGCTGCAGTCTTTTTCGTAGTTGAACTTACAGAGACCTCTTGTACTCATGTAAATCCAGTCAGTTGTAATCGAACTTAACTCCGGATTTTAGAAATGGTCATTCAGTTGAAACAAAAGAGATGTAATAAAGTAGAAAAAAATTGACAAAGATATAATGATTTTATCAGAGCCAACATTGTAGTTAAGTATGTGAGTGCCTCGATTAAGATAATTTATTGTGTATTTAAAAAATAAAAATCAGTGTTTTACTGAAATTTGATTTGAATTCCTCATACATGTCATTACAATTGTTATTCTTAATAATTCAGTTTAATAACAATTATTCTGGCATCTTCAAAACAATAATTTGTTTCTGCTACATTATACTGTGAATCGTCACACTGCTTATTATCTTGCTATGGTTTATTATGGTCAATATCTACAGTCTGACATGTTTCTGCAGTTTCTGTTATATAAATTTCAGAATCTCGCACAGTTTTTTAGCTACTTCAATTTCCTTTGTGTAACAGTAGAAATTTTATATCCTTGTTTAAATTTTGCTACTAGTGTAACGTTTAACAAATTTATCTTTGCTCTGAAAGCATTATGATAATGCAACACACCTGAAGCAGGAAGAACAACGTATTATCTTCTGATCGGTGTTACGTGTTCAGGATGTAAGTCATCATGTAGTTATGCATCCGGATATAAGTTTTCCAATCTGATTATGTTCTCAGTATTACACTTTTTCACGTCAACTTTTCTCGTGATGTAATTCTGCTCGAATTGTAAAAATTTGCATAGCTTATACTGCCGAATATGACTAGCATATACGTTACCACTGAATTTTTGCTTGCAACAAAAAATGATATAAGAATCTTTCATTGATTTGTCATTTTCACTTGAATAGAAAGAGAAATTTTACATATAATCTTCTAGGTGCTAATGGTTTTTATAAAAATCACCATACCAAATTTTGTTGCATTTGGACTGCATAGTATTTCTCTAGACAGCGTTAAACAGAGGTACTTTAATCACCCGCTTCCCTTATTTAAATATCCAATTCGATTTAGTTTATAATATCAAATTTCAAATTATGTTCGCTCTTTACTCTTCGTTATACTTTAATATCTATGGAAGCTCAATACCTAACAGAAATAAGAATGAGAAATTTTAAGTTTAGAGATTTCTATTTTTCCATATTTGATTGAAAATTTTGATTGTCATTTTTGTCATTATTATTTTATTCGTTTATTATAAATTGCATTCTTTTATTAATTAATAATATAATTTACAATTTTTGATTTCATACCATTTATATTTCTCTCTTTTCTGAAATCATTAAAATTTTAGAGAACTCAATACAATACCGTATCAATCGCTTTCGTCTATTATTATTAATGTTATATTATCTTCTTATCCAGTGTATACGTGTCTAGTATTTATATTTTAAAGCATTTCGCGAATTGTATCTAAGAATTATTTACATTCAAGTTTCATTATTTTGTATTGATTAAGAAATTTTGAAAAGTCTTCAAAACAAGAGATTATTTAGTCAGTTTCAGAAGGTGATTTATTTAAAATTATATTAACTCATAAATTTTCAATTGTGTTTAGATATAATAATAATAATAATAAGTTTTGTCATTTTTATATCGAGTATTTCGATTTTCCGAGGTTATTTTTATTTGTTTTATTAGTTCCCAACTTGTGAAAGTAGAAAGGAACTTAGTCATCAAATCCTTATTCTTTCCATTATAAATTATATATATGATCTCTATTCTTCTCATAAATTATAATTTTTCTTATGTTTTTCTGGACATATTTTATATTTTAAGTTAAATATTTAAAAACAGTTTTTTTCAACTATCGCAAGTTGAAGTTGAGAAATCTTCTCTCACGCTGCCCAAAAGATCCATTGCTTCAATTTACGAGATTTATAATGGTTCTATCGACTGACGAAAAGGTTTGTATATGTGTTACTACGTAGCCCCGAGTTGTCTTAATTGAATTTATTTATAACATGGCACTATTAAATAAGGAAAATTAAAAACTCGAAGATTCATTCTTCTGATCTAGCTTGTAAGGAAGTGTCTTAAATGGTTCTAAGGAAGGGTCTGTTGTCGCTAAAATCAACGCCACTGTGATTTATTTGAAAGGACATATCTGAACATAGTAATAACAAAATTTTAGCTGCTATGGACAACATGGACAAAAATATACGAAGCCAATCAAACATAGGATACGGTATCAAAATTTAGTGATATTCAACCTATCATTGGTAATATTATTGCATTAAATTTAATAATAATGTGATTTATTATACGGATTATTATTTTAAAAAATAGTTGTTGAAGTTTATGTTACTGCTGAAAAATATATGACAGGTAAAAATTTCGAGTAAATTACTTTTGACGGAGCAAAGAGCGCTATATTGTGGAGATAACAAGAAGTTGCAGAATGACGGCAATTTATAAAGTTGCAAAGCTGCATAGAGAGGACAATGTTCGTTTACAGTTCTATCACAAATTAAATACGTTCTTTATCCATGACGAACTTCGTAACTGTCGAAACAAATGGCGACAAAAATCCAGCGTGGTTTGACGAGTAGTGCAAGGATAGAAAACGGATTACAATGAAAGTGATAAAATGTACGAAACTCTTCTATTCCAATTAAAAATGCTACTTTTTATTGTAATTTTGTTATGTATTTGAATAAATTATTTAATGATTAATTTGATATTTTTATTTACTAATAACACAAAACTACAAGGAAATATCTTTTCAGTACATTGAAGGAATGAACAAACAGATTATTGACGTATAGATAATTTATAGTTGGAAAATTTCAATAGAAATTATTTGAATTTAAAAATTTATTATCATTATAGAAAATGAAATCGTTGCTTATTGTCCAATTATTTGCTGATTATTTTGGTACGAAACAAAGAGAAAACGATAGAAAAACAAATGGCTTCTGAACAAATTGAAAAGCAACTTCTTAACGAAGAAAATGATGTTAATAATGAAATCAATACACTTATAATCGATAAGAATTCCATTGATAACAACGAAATTGAAAGTGACTTAGAAGACGAGTCAATATTAGACGATGATATAAAAAAAGTCAAGAAAGCACTGGCGGTTCTTCTTATACTCCGTCTCTTCGGAAGAAGATGAAAACTAAATTTCCCGAAGGATATTTGACGGATGACTATAAGATTTGTACAAAACAAGTTACGACAAAAAAAAGAAATTTTGATCCTCTTGAACTATGCCCTCCTAGAAATGCAGCTGATATAACTTCCCGAGTGCACTTTAATGTTATAAATGTTACGAAAATTAAAGGTTGAAAAAAATAAAACTGTATCGAAAATTTTGAAAGAATATTAAACTCTGGAAGTTAGAGGAAACAGTTGCCATTGAAATTAAATAACGAGATTTTCGCATATTTCAGAGAAGTACGAAGCAATAATGAAATAATTCACAATAAAAATTAAAAAATAGATTGGTTCATTCCATAAACTCACTTCAAAGTCTCGCGGACATGGCTTAAAAATTCTAAGAGGCGAAATAAAATAGTTTCTCTCAAGATAATGCATAGAATAACTAACTTTAATGAAGATTCTGCTGATATAAAACAAAAAGCGAATGATTTATTCGAGGAAATAAGGTAGTAAATTAAATAATCAATTCAGATTGGTTAAGATTTCATTAAGAATTTTTATCTGGAAGAAACACTCGCGACTAAAGGAAGTAAAAACATATTTTTGGGAGGAGGAAATTATCGAATCTACTTATTCGTGTGTGATAATGCCTATAATTGCTATGAATTATACGGTAATACTACGTTACATATATGATAGTAACGTGTCATATATCGTTGTGATCAACTTTTCGGGAAAAATCCTTGCAAGGATAAACATTGATTTACCAAATATTAAAAAGGTATTTGCAAGAAAGTCTGAAAATATGTCTAAACAAGACTTGTAGATCTTTTTGCAAGAAACACTATGGTACGACTTGCAAAGTAAAGTTATTTTGATTGACATCAAACATGGACGGAAATCTGTTAACGCTACAGTCCTAGATGATTTTTAGGTTTATGAGATTGATTCTGGATTCAGTCAGCTGATGATTTCTTCTTTCGTTCATTCAAGAATATGGCCAAGTTTATTACACATAAAGACAATTAAAATAGCACAATTTTCTGAGATAGAATATACTTTCTTCGCCTTCAATCTCTTGTGCATTTTCAATTCTGGAATACTAACATTTAAGATAATGGTAATTTTCGTAGACATATTAAATTTACAGCAATGTTATTTATTATTTCTTTCTTTTATTAAAAAATAAATTAAATAAAATAGTTACTGGCCATCTTAACTTGTGAATCAAAACATACAGAAGAAATATTATACATAAGTTTTAATATATTTTAATTGTTACTTTGTATGATTTAAAATTAAAAATAACTTATATATTACATATAATACATATACAGTTTATTTAATTTAATGTCAAACTGATCCACAGATTTACATTTTTTATCTTTTTGTTTGAAGAGTTGTGAATAAATTTTAAGAAAATTTTTTGCTAAAATTGCATTTTCTTTTTATATGATATGTTTCTCAAAAAATTTCTCAGCTATTCATAAGTTTTACAAAAAAAGAATTACAAACAGTTAAAAACATTAAATAAGTAGAAAAATATTCCTTATTGATCATGTTTAACTTTAAAAAAATGTAACTAAATAAATTAATTAAATAATTTAATTTATTTTTGTTATGATATTATCAAAAAGAAATGATAAGTAATAAGTAAGATCAGATAGGCAAGAAAAGAATGTAAACTATTTTTCTGATCTGTAGAAATAAAGATCACATTTTCATTAATCACGTGATAAGACCGTTCCATCCTTTTCCCATTAACTCTTCTTCCATAAGGATAATTAATCTTCCATTATAGGATAAAAGTTTATCTTTGATATTTAGCCAATAATAAAGCTTGTTTTTTCTTCTTTTTTTAAAGCAAAAAGATAATTTTCAAAACTTTTTCTTAATCATAAAATTACTTTTGTAGTTTATATTTATTTCTTGATAAATTGATAAATTTATATTCAACGTCATAAAATTTCACACTTTTAAAAATATTAGATGCATTTGTTGTGTCTGATGGTGTACACTTTGACGCCATTTTGATAGTTTCTCATTAGAAAATAATAGGAAGGATGTAAATTTGACCTAAAAGTGTGTATTATTCTGAAAAATATTCTGTAATTATTAAAAAAAAAAAACTAAATTTTGGTATAAAATTTGCCTCTCTTATATAAATAATTGTAATCTGGATCATCTGATAATTTACATTATTTTATTTAAAAGTATACTTACAAGTTAGTAACAATTTACCTGTATTTCTTATAAAAAGATCCTAAAAAATATATATTTTTTGATATATTAGAAATTATATAATATTGTATATATTTAACTGAAATAGAAATTTTTGATAAGAAGAATTCTTCAGAATATATTTCGGGTAATATAATCTTGATAGTAATCTCTCCAGAAGATTATTTTGTTTTACTTTTGAAGCATGGTTTATAGGATATTGTTCTCATAAGAAAAAAGAATAACTGAATATCGAATACCATTATACCATATTGAAAAAAACTTTTTGTTTTATAGACATTTTTCTTGTAGACCAACGTCATCGAAGCAATATAAACGAAAGTGGATTTTACTCTAGTTACAAATACAGCTATATAAATTGATTTTTGAACGATGTATTCCTATATAAATTCTTATATAATAAAATAACAATAATATAATCGATTAAAAAGTATTTTTTAAAGACAGAATTTATTAATATTAAGAACGTTATAAACAAATTAATTTTTTAAATTAAGAAATTAACTTATAAATTTCTACCGGGTACCACTATAATTTTTTACAGAACAATCTAATTTTGTCAGAATTCTATAGAAAGAAGTTGCCATAAGATTTTCGTTTTAAAGACTTTAGCTAAATATTTTTCTTTTTATAAAATATATTTCCATATTTAACAATTTATATCGAGTGTGAACATCTCTGTTACTTAAAACAGGGTGGTTTGAATTAAACTGACGAAACTCAGACACGCAAGGAGCCGGCTGTACTGAACCTAATCGAATGAAACTCTGTACACATGCAATGCAGATCATACGAAAGAGATTTACGAAAAAATTAGTTGAAATTTTTACCACCAGGGAAAAATTGGGAGCTCTTTATTCGGAAACATGTGTTTCTGGCTGTGGGGTTGTTTGAAACATCATGATCATTAGAAATATGTGCACTCCATATTGGTACAAGGCAAGAATAGTGCGACCCTTCTATCAGATTCCTTCTGAAATGTTACGTGCGGCAGTTGATAACGCGGTTTTACGATTGCAACGTGTGGGAGTCAGAGAATGATCCTACATTGATCATATAATGTAAATGTGTAAAATTTAATTTAATTCTTCTAATAAAATTTTGTTTACTTGCCTTATATATATAATTTTTTCCTTCGTAAATTCTTCTCGATGATCTGCTTTTCATGTCAACCGAGTTTCATTTGATTTGATTCAGTAGAGCCGTGTCTCCTCACGTGTCTGAATACCGTCAGTTTAAATCTAATCACCCTGTGTATCATTCTATTTATTAAGCCATTCATAGTAAATAAATAAATAAAACAATATATTTTTACCTGAATAGTATTTGATTATAAAACAGTGTTTATTGTGTTACTTCTCTATTACCGAAAAAGCTAGCAACGAGTTGCTTAACTTTCCCGGAAATATTTAAAACTGCGTGTGGTACCATCTGTTATATTATTTTATTTTATAAACTTTTATATTTTTAATTATTTTAAATTGTTAAAAAGCTTAATTTTGAGAGTAGGGATGGGTTTTTATAAAGAAAAAGAAAAAAAAACAGTAAATGCTAACGAGCATATTTATTGTGACATCCTCACAATATCGGGTTGTTATGTTTCATAAAATAAATGATTTTAATTTATTTAATTTAAAATATAGGGGAGACCGGGGCAAGATCGGCATGTTAAGCTTTACTTAAATTTTGTGTAATAAATACTGCTGTAAACTGAAAAAAATGCTTTGCATATTTTCTACTGGAATGTTACCTTACTATAGAACTGGTTAAAATCAGTTTGGAAATAAAAATAATTAAAATAATTACAACTTTACAAGAAGAGAGAAATTGACGAAGTTGCCCCGGGTATAGGGGCAAGATCGGCAACTTCTCTCTTTTTGTAAAGTTGTAATTATTTTAATTATTTTTATTAAAGTTGCCCCTGGTATAGGGGCAACAGTAATGGG